GGGCGGGGGTGGAATGGCGTTTTTTTTGCTCACCCAATCAGGTTTCAAGTTTCAATTCAACAGTCAGGCTTCAGCTTGTCATTCAGATTCCAGTACAACTCGCCGCAATTCCCCAGCAACTCACTGCCGCCCAACAACAGATTGCTTGGCCGTTCAACTCAGTGGGAACCCTAGTGCAACCCAGTGCAACACTTCAGAATCCAGTGCAACCCTGTGCAGCCCTGTGCAACCCTGTGAGCATCTGACCGTTGGGGTTGCCCTGTTCGTAGAAGCGCCTGAGCAGGTCAACGGCCTCGCTGGCCAGAATGCCGCCCACACACTGCAGCTGGCAGCCCGGCACCGCAGAGCTGACAGTAGGAGGGGAGGGGGAGGGGGGGGGTTTGCTTCTTGCACGTGGTGCCATGTGATGCCATTTGATGCCATGTGGTACCATGTGGTGCCATGCAGTGCCATGTGTGCGGCTGAGCAGGCATGTGTGCGGCTGAGCAGGTCAACCCTCAGACACTACAGCTGGCAGCTCGGCACGGGAGAGCTGACAGTGGGAGGAGGGGAGAAGGGGGAGAGAGGGAAGAAGTTTATTTTCTTGCGCGTGGCGCCATGTGTGCGCTGAGCAGCTCAACGGCCTTGTTGGCCGAGGAGGAGGAGGGGGGGGGGGGGATATTCACAGTGAAAGGGGTGTTGGGAATCGGCGGCTCACAGCACGACATGGTAGTGGTGAAATGGGATGGGAAGAGAGGGTGGGGGTGGGAGTGGTGATAGCGGGAAGAGGAGGACAGGGAGGGCGGGTGAGTGAGGGAGAGGGGTTGAATGCACTGCTGTGTGCAGGGAATAGGGAAGGGCGCATGGAATTGGCAGTGCACATAGCAATGACAGAACGTGTTACATCTGGTTCGCTGCGCACGAACCAGTTAGTACACCTTCGCGTGTTACCCGGTAACTTGGTGTATACGCCACCCAAAACGACGTAGATTGGCTAGTGAGCTGTTGTGTTGAACCTTAAGGCTCAGTGTGTTCCAGCAGACGAGTCAATGCACCCTAAGCGAACCAGATGTAGCACGCCTCAGAACCCTCAGAGTGAGACGTCTATTGAACTTGAACACTATTAACCTGTGGCAATATTCTAGTTTCGGAAACGTTTCAAAACGAAGAAAGAATGTGTGAAAACGGGGGAATGGACTATACGACCGACAAGCCACAGCCCTGCAGCTTAGTGCACTAGTTGCCGTGGGAGGTAGGTTACCAACAACGTACAAGGGATTAGGGGTAGCGACGTACAAGGGCGGGCAGGGGTGGCATCCGTTGGCGTGTACCGGCAGCACGGAGCCACAGCCCCAAAGCGGTCGTTGGGACAACCGTAGAACACACGGGAGAGACCTGGTGTGGCGGGAGTGGGGAGGGAGGAGGGAGGAGGGAAGAGGAAAGGGAAAGGAAAGGAATGCACAGCTGGAAGCTGGGAACAGGAAGCAAGGAGGGAGGAGAAGGAACCAAGGGTTAGAGTTTAAGGGTTATAGGAAGGAAAGATGCGGATGATCAAACGGCGGTCGTCACTCGTGATGAGCGGAACGGTTGCCTTTGGAGATTCATGCCAGTCGAAAGGCATCCTGTTCCTCTAATCCTGTCTGCCTGGAAATCACCTGTCCTGTGCGGCTTACCCAGCAAGGAGAGTGCTCCAGCGCACATGATGCACGGTTCGCAATGTCACAAACAGCTCACTCTCCCCAACCACCTGCAGCAATCGGCCATACTGCTCCGCCTCCTCTCTCGCCTCCCCTCACCCTCCCCCGCCTCTCGCCCTCCTCCCTCCTCTGCCTCATCCTCTCCTTCATCCCTCTTTCCCTCTCTCCTTCGCCCTTCCATCCTCCTCCTCCTCTTCATTCCGCCCCCCAGTAAACTCTCTCTCCCTCGTTCCCCAGCTAATTTATGGCTGCCACGTGTCACAGTGCCATTCGCTCCATCATTCGCTATACCATTGGCCGATGCTGCCCTTGGAGGGTCAATCTGCCCAAAGCACTCGTTAACCTGCCCGGCAGAAAGAGACTCCAGAAGCGAATCAACAGCCTCCAGTTCAGCATGGCGCGTGGCCTGCCAATAAAAAGGGCCACATAATCATGCAGAATAATCAACGAGCGTCCATCTGAATATTCTCAGTGGAAAAAACGAGGGCACAAGTGTATAGAGACGTGTCAAACGCTGGAAGATGGAGACAGGGACGGAAGAACGAAGGAAGCAAGCAAGAGAGTATAGCAGCAGCAGGTCAACCGCACAAGCAGGGGGGCAACTCTTTTCGTCACAACAGGCAGGGAAGTTGGGCAGGCGGAGTGGTGGCGGCGTATGCGATCAGGAGAAAAAGAGTGTAGGGAGCGCACTCACATTTCTGGTTTCATTGGTCCTGTTGCTGCCTGCTGCGGCGACTCTATTGTTGTGCACTATAACACATCTGACGCAAGGGGAGGAGGGGAAGAAAGGGAACGTAGGGAGGGGAATGACGGGGGAAATGGCAAAGCGAGAAAGACAAGAGGGAGATGGAGGAGAAAGTGGGAGATGGGAGATGGGAGGCGTTAGAATGCGGAGTACTTAGGGATATCGGGCACGAAAGACGGGTTGGCAAAACAGGGCGTGGGAAAGGTCGGGGCGACGGTAGAGGGAAAGGTAGGGGCGAAGGAAGAAAGGTAGGGGCGAAGGAAGAAAGGTAGGGGCGAAGGAAGAAAGGTAGGGGCGAAGGAAGAAAGGTAGGGGCGAAGGAAGAAAGGTAGTGGGAAACATGGGCCAAAGGGGGAACGTGGTGGGGAGCGAAGAGGGGGAGAAGAGAGGTGGTGGGGTGGGGGGGAGGGGAGGAAGGATAGAGAGAGAAAGAGGGTGCTCACCCCACGGGGACTTCAAGTCTCGTCCATGCAGCCTCCGCCTTTCCTTGGGCACACACACAAGGGCACGGGGGGGTGGGAGGCCGACACGCACCACCAAGAATCATATCATATCCCAGACAGAAACGAAGCCACCAAGCGAAGCGGCTCAGAAACAGGGGAGCTGGTGACAACCAGCAGAGGGAAGGGCGGGGCGGATCCCAGAGAGAAGGTTACCATGGGAAGCGGATCACAACCGGGGAGGCTTGTAAACACAAACAGACAAAAAGGGGAGCGGGGGGAGGAGGTAGGGAGGGAGGGAGGTGGTGGTGGTTGAATGAGGAAGGGTGTGGGGGAGAGGGCGGTACGTGCGATGGGTGAGAGCAGGCGTACTTGGGCAATGGCGAGTCGCATGAAGTGCACTCTTCTCTCGTCCTCCGAGGCAAAAGGGGCGACGGGACGGGCGGGGGGGGAGGTGGTGTATGTTGTTTGGAGGAAGGGCGGGGAGAGGTGTGCACGCGTGCTGAACCTAAGAGCAGGCGTACTTGTGCGATGGCGAGTCGCATGAAGTGCACTCTTCTCTCGTCCTCCGAGGCGAAAGTTGGCCCACAGCTCCGTCATTCGCCATGCCGTCACGGAAACGCCGCCTGAGATTAGAGCTCCTGGCAGCTCCTGGCAACCTCCTGGCAACTCCTGGCAAGGGCCTGGCAAGGGCCTGGCCGAGACAAACGGCACCAGCTTCTGTGCCAGGTAACCTCCTCGCTCGCCCACCTCACTCTCGTGACTTGTTCTCCTTTCAACCCACCCCGTTTAGCAACATAACCTACTCCCTGGGACGATGCGTAGGAGAGTGGAAGCGGTGTGCGTCAGTAGCAGGAGGCATTGCGTTCGGTCGGAGGGTAGTGCGTGTCACTGGGATGATAGGGAAGGGGTCGACGAATGGCTTCTGACTGCTACCTCGCAGCGCGCGTGAGAGCAGAGGTCAGAGTGAGCTCATCTGGATCAAGCCAAGGTGAGAGATGGCAAAAAGCAGCCCCTAAGGGCGGGGCACATTGCGTCCGTTTCGGAGGATCGCAGCTGAAATATCGAGTTGTGTTTTTTAAGCAAGACCATTTCAGACATTTTGAAAACGACTTTCGACATCGGACTTGCACGCCACATAGGCATGTTCCAGATTGCAACTTTTGGCCCGCAGGTTCGCTCTGCAAAGTGACATCAAGGCATTTCGCCAGTATTTTCGAGAGCCCAGCAACCACCAACCCTTGCAAAAAACTTGAACGCGGCGCGAGGCTCTCGAGATTTCTGTCAGCATGTTTCGCTTTGACGAGTTGGCGAAGCCATGGAGGTTTTGTGACATCTCTAGGTGGCGCGATCTGATACTTTGGTGGGTAGGTTCGAAAGAGAGTTGGACACGAAATCGTTTTGCGGGATTGTTTCGTAAGTGATCCTCGCCTCCAAAAAGGTACTTGACTATTTAAGAGTTACTGTAGCAAGCTGGTTACTCGTTTTATAAAAGAAGGGTTCTACGGCATTGCTCGTTCGGCTATAGTCACCTCGGAGTATTTGAATTCTGTGTGAATCATCCTCTTTATTGAATATCAATGGTGGATTTTCAAACGAAGGTGGGGTGGAGGGATTTTGGGTCTGTATTCATATTTGCGAGCTAATACAAAGGTGTACACATCGAGCCAATCCACGTTCACCCACAACACCACTTTTATCACGACACGTGTTCTGGCTCCGAAGCTGTGAACCAATGAAACGATCCGAGAATCCCGAGCCCAAAGACACGCCACTTCTCCTGCCCAGAGTAATCTAGTCTGCCCGGAATAATATTGTGCAGGTCCTTGGGAGGGATTATCAAGGTTGGTGATTCGTGGCTGAAATTTAACGGAAAGCCCCAGGCAAGACTTTAGAGCAACAGTTATACGGATTGGATGATCCAAGGTTTCCGATTGGGTGATCTCGGCCGTATAAATGGTGCCCGAAACTACTGCCTCGAGGTGTGCCCCGAGGGCGGGCTTAGGGGTGTGTAAAGTGGGAACGGAGGCTCCGCTCCATTCCCAAACTCCGTATCTTCTGCCCGTTCGGTTTGTTTCCAGAAGCAACAAAAGGTTTGAAACTACACCGCCCGCACGAAAACCCATGCACCTGAAACTTTCAATTTCAAAGTTCAAATCTGTAACTGGCGAGGGCAATGTATCGCGAAATTCGCCTGCGCGAGGCGCATGCATTCCGTGCTGGCCGAGCTGGCCATTTTGCAGCATCCTTGAGATTGGCGAGATGCGCTTACGTTCTGGTACATGCACAACGAGCGGTCAAATGTTTTCCAATGTCGTGAAGGTGTTTGCGCAAAAATGTTTTGCGCGAATTCACACTTTTTAACACGCAGATTCCGTGCATCCGATTAGCCTACAATTTCAGTCGGGCATAAAAAAGAGTTTGGGAACGGAGCGGAGCCTCCGTTCCCACTTTACACACCCCCTAAGCCCTCCCCCCTCAGGCAGTGCACCCCACCTGTGACCGAGTCGCCATCAGCAAGCAGTGCTTGCGCTGGTTGAGGTGAGGCTTCTCCTTACCTCCAAATTCTTTTCTCCACACAGCAGCACTGGGAGACAACGATCAGCCTTTCCCAGAAAGGCCTATTCCTGAGTTATAAGCCGGGCAACGTGGGGAGTGCCGCCTGGTGCGTGCATCCTGCACCTCTCACCTGGTTTCATCAGACTGCACCCTAGCCGCAGGTCCTGGTCCTGGTTACAAGTTACCAGTGGTTCTGAGTTGAGAGCCATTCGGCTGCCGTCCTGCTCGGCGATCATTGAGAAAGGCACATCAGGGCGACGTCCGGGCGCTCGTCTTCCGACGCACGTCGTGTGCCTACGCTCATTGTACTCCTAGTGCACGGTGCATTTGTCAGACAGGGAATGAGCCATTCCAAAGCTGCAAGCGCCTGACGCCGCTGTCGAGCCTCCGGCCGCGTTGAGACACTCGCGCCCACTTGACTAGACGTCAAGCCGCAGCGGTTCTCCCGTGTCAAAACGAGACACAGCATCGCCAGGCGCCAGTGCGAATACAACCCAGCGCTCCGAGACGCCCTGAGGCATCCTCGCAGGGAGCTCACAAGCGACGATGGCTCAGGCCTTGCGTTGCTCGACGCCGCTGGCCCTCTCCGTCACCAGCGTCGTCGCCGCTGGAACCCAGAGAGGCCAGGGCGAATCAAGACCAGCTCGTTCGCGTTCGTTCGCCAGCTTAGCCGCGCCGGCACGCTTCTCGTCATGCCGATTCGTTGGCGGGTGCCGCCCCGTCGCACGTCGACGCATCCACGTCAGCTCCGGTCATCCGGTTGCTTCCTGGACGCAACCGTCTCATGCGCAGCGGATCGTTTCTTCGATAAAAGCACGCGCCGACACGGTGACTGTCGACGAGCCGTATAGCGAAGCCGCGGAGGCGGAGGAAGAGGGCGGAAATAAGGCACGGGAGCCGACAGAGGAGGCGGGAAAGGCGGGGATTGCGGGGGAGACGCGCGCGGAAGAAGAAGGGGGAAAGGCGGAGGCGAGCGCTGCTAGTGGCGCAAAGCTGAGCCAGGCGACTCTGATATGGCGCGCCGTGAAGCTTCCCATCTACAGCGTCGCTCTGATTCCGCTCATGGTGAGAGTAATCGAGTTTTGAGACGTCTCAAAGCTGCTGATCTACAGCGTCGTGCTGATTCCACTCATGGTGAGAGGGGTGCTGCTGTTCTCGAGGGAGTGAAGGAAGAGGGATTGCCAAGTATTTGAATACAAAGAATTTTGAACATGGCTGACCCATTTCGCAGATATTTGTTGGTGACGTGATAATCAAACAACTCATAATTTCTTCTCTGTGTGTCGTTGCTCCCCTCCCGCCCCACCCCCCCTCCTCCCTCTCCCCCCACCTCCTCCTCCCCACCCCCCGTCTCTCTCCCTCCATTCCCCATCGCCTCCAATCCCCTCCCAATCCCTCTTCCTCCCTCCCCCCCACCTTCCTTCCCTTCCTTCCCCCACTCCCCTTCCTTTCCCCCTCCCTCCCCCCTCTTCCCCCCCCTCCACGCCGCCACCAGATTGGTGCGTCGGCAGCGTACCTGCAGACGGGCGTCTTCCACGCCGCCAGATTCGGCTCCTTCCTGCTTTTCTCCGTCCTCGTTATCGCGTGGCTCAATCTAAGGTACAACCCAGCGGACTTGCCGAGGGTTCTCCTTGCGCTTCCCGTCTACAGCTATCACCGCCAAAAGCTTTACGCGCGTGCAGCGCAGGGCCACGGGGTTTTCCAGTGAAGGCTCATTCCCTACCCTCATTCCCTACCCTCATTCCCTACCCTCATTCCCTACTCTCATCCTCTACTCTCATCCCCTACCATCATTCCCTGCTCTCATTCTTCTACCCCCACAGAGTCACGGGGCCATGGGGTTTCCCCCCTCCTTACTCCACCCATCCCTCCCGTCCCCTGTATCCACTGCCTCCCCCTTGTGTGACAGTAACGATGGCTTCGATTCTTTCACCGGCGTCGATAAGACGAAGCCAGAGTCCGTGGTCAACCTGACGGGCAGGTGGGGTCAATTTAACGGGCAGGTGGGTCAATCTGAGTCAATCTGACGGGCAGGTGGGTCAATCTGACGGGCAGGTGGGTCAATCTGATGGGCAGGTGGGTCAATCTGACGGGCAGGTGGGTCAATCTGATGGGCAGGTGGGTCAATCTGACGGGCAGGTGGGTCAATCTGACGGGCAGGTGGGTCAATCTGACGGGCAGGTGGGTCAATCTGACGGGCAGGTGAGTCAATCTGACGGGCAGGAGCGTAGGCATGGGTCAATGAAAAGCAGGAACCGTAGTGCCATGCAGATGACCCGCAATGGGTCATCTGCATTGCAGGTGGTGCAGGAACCTGCTCACCCGTAGGACAAGGCACGTGAGTAGGACAAGGCACGTGAGTAGGACAAGGCACGTGAGTAGGACAAGGCACGTGAGTAGGACAAGGCACGTGAGTAGGACAAGGCACGTGAGTAGGACAAGGCACGTGAGTAGGACAAGGCACGTGAGTAGGACAAGGCACGTGAGTAGGACAAGGCACATGAGTAGGGGTGTTGGTTACGAATGTGGAGCCACCTAATAATCCCATTCAAAGCGTCCTTAGCATAGAGCTTGTGCTAGCTGTAATGGTAATGAACCGAGTGATTATAATGGATACATGTAATGAGACTCTAGTTTAATGGCTAGCTACAACTTCTTACCCATTCCTGCCACTTTTCCCCGTAGAAAATGCGATAAAATCTACTGCTTCCCAACCTACCTCTTTCGTCCAAACTACTCCCATCCTTCACGTCCTTGCTCCTCCCTATCCTCTCCTCTCTCCCCTGCTCTCCTTCTCCCTTGAGTCGTCACCCCCCTCCTGACGCCTTTTCCCCCTACCTCCCTTCAATCTGTTCTATTGCTCTCCCCCACACCACATGCACCGTTTCTGCCTTCCAACTCCCCTCCTCTTCGCCCTTTCTGTGGCGTGTCGTTTCCTTCCTGATGTCCCTCTCCTCCTCTACTCACCTTTCCTCCTCTTCTCCCCTCCTCCCTCCCCTCCCCTCTCGCCCCCCCTCCCCCCCCCCCCCCCCCCCCTCCACCCGCCCACCAGTCGCTTCCGAGTGCTAGCAGCAGCCTTTCTTCTCCTGGGAATTGGCCTTGCAGGGATCATCTCAGGGGCGGCTGCAGTTGCGGATCCACGTGTCGGATGGCTACTGGCTGCCTCAATCGCCTGTGGCTATGTGTATCAGGTGAGCAAAACATTCCGTCAGCAAAAACGTTCTTTCGCTGTCATGGGACTACCGCATTCTACTCTCCTCCCTCCCTCCCTACCTCCCTCCCTCCCTCCCTCCCTCCCTCCCTCCCTCCCTCCCTCCCTCCCTTCCTCCCCGCCTCACTCCCTCCCTCCCTCCCTCTTTCCCTGCATGCCGGTACAAGAATTCACATAGCAACGAGACAACCCTTGCAATCTGCTCTCCTCACTCTCAACTCCTGCCCCCTTCTCCACGCCACACCTCTACCTGTCCCACAGTTTGTCTACGCCCCTCTCCCCCCAACCCCCT